AAGGAGCGCCAGGAGTGCGACGCCGTTGAGGTAGGGACGCTGCTGCCTGTGAATCTCAGCCCGCTCTGCTGCTTCGAGCGCCTGCACCGCTGCCTCGTGGTCGAGGCCCGCGTGCGAACACGGGCCGTCGGAGGAGCACGCAAACACCGACGGCGGCACAGGCCACTGGCAGACGCAGCGGAAGAGGGCGAGGCACGGAGCCTCGAGCAGCCCACCGTCCGAAGAAAGGTAGGCACAGCCGGAGATGTTGGCGTTCGGAGCAAAGGCTCCGGTCCAGGCCGCAACGCCGGCTGCAGCAGTGCCAGTGCCCGCTGAGTCCGCGACCGCGAGCGCCGCGGGCGACCCTCGCCAAGAATGGCTGGTGCACAGCGCGGCGCACTCGAGCCACGTGCCCTCAACCGGCGGGCTCGTGTAGCACTGAGATGCTGAGGAGGACCAGCCTGGAGGGCAGGGCATGGCGCCCCACAAGGAACAGCTGAAGCCAGAGGGGCGACGATTGTTCGTCCCAGTTCAGAAAAAGAAAAAATTGTCTGCCCTGTGATTTGGTCTCGGCAGCTTGTCAGCCCTGAAGATCCCAATATAGGATTCTCCCCAAACCTTGCTCAGCTGATCCAGCACGGGCCGTAGGCCAGCCCAGGGCAAAGAAACCAGTACCTCATCAGGCTTCCCTGAGCGTCACAGCTCGGTGATCGCGCCGGCCGGACACCACTGTAACGTCCGTTCCGGGCATTTGAACGCGACCTTCGGGGGCAAAGACATTGGCTCTATGGCTCAGACTGGACTCCTCTTGGTCCCTTCTGATGCCCTAGGCCACACCTGGGCCTTACCCGGGGCTCTAGGGGCCGGACAGGGTTTGCCCCCCGAAACTGGCATGGGGAACCAACCCTTTTGCTTCATAAGGGTCTTGGAGACCCAATCTCGATATATCTCCAGTCGTAGCGGTGGAACTTTTTTTTGGCTCGGTCAATTATTTAGCCATATATGAGAGGATCACGGCACAGTGTCGTTTGAGTCGACAGTAAATCTCCCACAGCCCACGTAAATCCGTCTTTTCAGGCACCCGGAGCCCGCCGCGGCCGCTTCTACGCCGGCGAATCACCATCAAGC